ATTAAACATAATAAACACAATTTTTTAGAAAATTTCAGAGTTTCTCTAAGTTGATAAGCGTATCATTGAGTACCTTCCATGAATGAAAATTTTTTATCCTTTACTTTCATTTAAAATAACACATTTTTATAGAGATTGGTATTAAAACTGATATCACCTTTCTTTTCAAATTTTTTTCCAACAACAATAATTTTACTATTTTGATTTGAAATCTTGTGCACGAGTCACAATCCTAGTATATATTTACTAGCTTTTTGACCCATGCATTTATATCTTCAAAGAAATAATAAAAATTTATATGACAAGTAAAAGGTTCAAGAGTGTGTCAATGTAATATCAATTTATAATGAAATGTATTATAATAAACAAAAGTAAAGAAAAAAATTGAATAAAGTATGTTACTTTACATATGCTACATGTTTTGTTTTATTATTACTAAAAAAAACTACAGGCTACATGTTAAGAATATAAAAATATTTCCATGAGAGAATAAGATGAATCTTATTATTTTATTATTATGTATAATTTCAAGTCTATATATGTCCATATACGGTAAATATCTGGTACTTTTGATAATAAAATATTGTTATTATGGCAATATTATTAAGTAAATTTAATAAGTAAAATAAAAATATGAAACTGATATCTTTAAGTAAATGTAATATCATAAAATGATAATAAAACATAAATTTAATATTTCTGTCAAGTAAATTTAATATTGTTTGGTAAATTTAGCCCTCTCCAACCCTTCCAAACCACGAGTCCTACCGTACCACTTTCCAACTTCTTTTTACTTGACCTTATCCACTATCCTATAGTAGTCCCACTCCCAATTATCTTTTTTCCTATCCCTCTAGCCTTCCAATACATATCACCCTTCCTTTAGATGCCACGTCTCCTTTTCTCTAGTTCTTTAGTGTTCCTTCCATGTCATCATTCGTGACACGTTTCACTACATGTCTATTATCCTCTAGATGTCACGTCATCCTCTTTGCCCCTACTCTTCTCTCGGTGTCATTGTTCACAACTCATATAACTATTTTCCTATCATTTTTAAACATCTCAATGCCAACTATGAAAAAATACCCAAAAAAATTCAACATACCCCAAAAATACCATATACAAAGATTTTAAAGGAACTTTGTCTATTGTAAAAATTTTCTAAAAACATCCTAAAAGTAGCCCATCAAAACGGAGCTAAACCAATATTTTTTAAGTTGTTGTTCCTAAACTAATTTTCGTAATATCAATGAGCTTGTTTGGACAAGTAGTTTTTGGTTGATTTAACTTGAAAATTTGAGTTGTATTCTTTACCATAGCTGATATGTGGTTTTGTGCCTGCTGTTAGCATTTTGAATTATGGCGGTCAAGTGTGGAGAGAATAGAATTGCCTGAATAGTTTAGCTTTTGTCAGGAAGCTTTTTGAGATTGCTGCTGAATGTAGTACGGCGGTCCCACCATTTGATCGATTGCCTTTCTTATTCAGTTGTCCGAGAAATTGAATTGGGAGGCTTTTGCCCAACATAGTTCACGGGTCCCATGTTGTTTGACCATCAGCATTCGGAAAATGAATAACCACGTAGCTCTTGAAAATGTTATATAATTTACAAGTAGTTAGGAAAAAGCCAATTATGACTTAGTATCAAGGGTTGAATTAATATACCTTCTTTTCCCTATCCTCCTATCCTCGCCATCCAAAAGAGGAAAATTGTGGCATTCTCACGTAAACGTGGCTAATTAACCTTGTTCTCATATTAAGGTGGTCATAATTTGGAAATGCTTGGGATAAGGAATGGACGTTATTTGGAAGCGAATTGTTTTATGTATCCTTCCATATATACCTCCAGCACGAAAAAGGAATAGTTATGAAAAATAAGAAAAAAACCACAGGCCTCAAAGGCGAGGCCCCTTACTTCTTAAAAAAGTCCAATTGTGCCTCTAATTATAGATTAAAAAGTCCAAATTAATTATTAAATCTTATTACCAGATTTTCCAAGAAAGCCAGCCCCAAGTTTTTTATTCCAACTTGTCAAGCTACCACTATTAAAAACTTAAGACAAAGGTACACATACCACACGATATTGATGCTCCGATTACAACCAGGTCTTGTTTATAACAACCAACTTATTTTGAGTACGACCGAAGAGGATATATGGGCATCACAAATACCAGGAAATTCTTAATACCGCCTCCAGGCCTGTAACTATTGGCAAATCAGATAATTGAACTCTTCATGTACGGTGTTGCGTATTTCTGTAGGCATTGAACATATGTGTCGCCATTGACTCTCTCATGGCAGTCCATTGTTCAACAACTTCAGGAGGAGAATGCAATGGCTGTATCTCCGGATACGGAGGAATTGCACCATGACTTGTTGGATCTCCCTCGTCTGGGTTAGCAAAGTACATATCATTCGGTTGTTGATCCCTAATGAAGTTATGCACGGCACAACAGGCAATAACTACATTTATCTGTGTTGTCATCATGTAGTTTGGAACGGCTCCCCGTAAAATGGCAAATCTCCTTTTAAGGACACCGAAACTTCGCTCTATGACATTCCGTAGTGCAGAGTGTTGGTAATTAAAAAGTTCTTTCGCGGTTGCAAATCTTCCCCTCCTGCGACCACTAACATCCGCTTGGCGTCCCCTATACGGTGGTAAGAAACCGGGCAAGTTTCGATACACGAAGTCAACTAAGTAATATTTTCCTGTATCGCCATTACGAGAACCAAAGTATTATTTGCATTTTGTACTTTGCAGGTACAGTTATATCCGGGTTTAATCCTCCGGCCCAACCAACGGGGTGATCGGATTATAAAAGTAAGAATATAGATTTTTTTTTTTATTTTCGTGCACAAAGAAAAAAAGTCCCAACTGGCCCTGGTTAACTAAAATCGCCGTGAAAAATTTTTTGGCCAGGGATACCGATATTTTGAATTATTTGAAATTGGATAAAAAAGTGATAGCTTGTGCTAGATAAATTACGAGGACGGAGGGATTGCATATTATACCTGTAGGTGGCACAGGAAAGTGATTTGGGCCGGTCAAAGCGCCATCCAAGACTCTTGCATCATGTGCACTTCCTTCCCATCCGGCATACACATATATAAATCGCATATCATGGTCGCATACAGCCAGAACATTTTGCGATTGTACACCATGCCTATTTGTGTATGCCACTTGCTGTCGTCTTGGGACACAAGCAGGTATATGAGTCCCATCAATAGCCCCAATGCAGTCCTTCAAAAAGAAATTATTAACTGGATGAGGTATAAAACAGTATTCGAAAAGACCTCTTGTTCTACGTACACTATTAATATAGTACAGCAAACCAAGGATATCTGGAAGCAATTTTGATATCACCGTACTTCAAACCAAGGATAAAATCTCGTGTCGGTAAGAATTTTCGGATGAATTGCATCCTGGTTTCGGGGAGTAATGATGAATTGCGCGAATGTGCATAGGCCCCGGATGACTTCGTGAATATTACGATGCACCGTTTCCGTGGAATGGTTAAATCGGTCAGCAATCATACGCATTCTCATATTGTGGCTCATCATGACCAATGTCATCGTAAGTGCCTCCTCTATTGTAACCCGTTTTTGATGATGTTGGGGAACAAATCCACATTCGGCCAAGAGCGCGCACAACTGCATGAAAGAATCAACATTTAACCTTGTTGCGTCCATAATTCGTGTATGATGGCCTGACATCACTTCTTCAACCCAAGCACGTCCTGATAATGCAGACGTCCTGCAAGGCACCTTTTGTATTGGACCTCCGTATGGTTCTGCATGTGGTCCAAATAATAGCGCAGCACCAGCAGCAAATAGAAGATCATCTTCGTCCGAAGACGAGCTGGTGCCCTGGCCATCACCGGGATCGCTCATTTGGCCCCTTTTTAACTAAAACAATTTAGAGAAGGGTGCTATGTCCGCCAGGAGTTGCTAAAATCGAGCTGTCTTCGAAGTGCGCTCACCAATTCTCGTTTTACTCTCCTCCTCGTTTGTATGTTCATATGAGATATACAGCGACTCTTGAGACATGCGCGTTTTATAGGCCATGAAAAATTGGAAAACAACATATGTTAACGCGGCGTTGGTACCACCATTACCACAATTATTACTAGCTCACGAGAAATCGTTTTTGGATTCCATTACGAATTGACGGTAAGCACCTTTTACCTCTGCATGCTGGCTTCCTTTTTTTGGCCAACGTATGGAAAATGGGTACGATAACGTCCACTGAGAATACTTTTTTCCGAATCCCACGGTACCTGTCTGAGCACGCCAAGTATCTTTCAAAATATGAGATCTTTCGAATGTAGCTGGAATGTGTATAATGGTTCATGACAACTGCATAAATAAAAGGTTAATATAGCTGCTGTCTACCAAAGAGGCAGGAGAATTTGGGCTTTAATAACTGTTTAGGGGACCAGATTTGACTGCTAAATGAATCTACCTTTTGACTTTTGTGTATCCGATTATAACACCGAAAGCCTACACCATTTGATGTGTTCGGTCTATTTCATTTGCTGATATACAATTATTTGGCCTCGCGACTGCAAAAGCCCCGTGTGCTAACTATTTCTAATGTAGTCCCTGCTAACAAATATGAGATGCTCTCGCCCCTGTAAATTTCTATTTCTGCTGTTTTCCTCAAGCGGCAAATATCAGGAAAATCTGAAATGGCCACATCACGGAGCTTCCAAAAAACCAAATCAACTAATGCAATTAAAAACCTCCAACATTAACCATAATATACATACTAGTAGTCATCCGTCCAGTCATAACCAACTACAAAGCCAAAGTTTTATCACAAACAGGGCTGTCCAAATAAATCCTGGAAACATAAAGGACAAAGCTCAGATAATTATTGCTACAAGCTTGGGATTCGATATATAATAGTTTTAAAGTCTCATACAAAGGAACTAAAAGTCCCAACTCAACGTCTTACAAATTGAGAACCCAAGAAAAAATTGAGAACCCAAGTCTTCCGCCACTACTTGGGCCCATCGGGTCCCTGTTTAGGTGGCGGCACCAAAGAGTACAACCAGAACTCTTGCATCTCGCGACTGCTACTGAGGAACGTCTTCCGCCACTTGTCGTCCTGGAGTGCGCAAAATGCAGCGAGCTTAGCCCCTTTATCGAGCGATGGCCCAAATGATTCGACGACCTGGACTGCCATATCGACATCAAATTTCTCCTTGTCGGATGCTCGGGTTGCCTTGATTCGTAACTTAGAATTCGCTAGGGACGAGAGGGAGTTGGCACACTCGACGAATGGATCGTTGGTACTTCGACTTGACTTGCTTCCCCGGGATGCACTTGGGAGCGAGGTTGTCACGCCTTGACTGCTCGAACCTCGCTTCACTCCCACAACCGGAGATTCCTCGTTGAAATCCCCATCCATGCCCGCGTTGTACATGTCATCACCAACAGGCGAAGTGACAGTCTGCCCACGACTATGCCCACCTCGCTTGCGTGGATTGTAAACTGAAGGTGGAACTGAAGAGGCTTGAACTTGACTCCCTGTGGCGGTTTCTGATTCTAAGATCTCGTGCAGGATTGCATATTTGTCGACGCATTGCCCGAATCTGAAGTACCTATAATCATTATTCTCCTGTTTCAAAGACAAACCAAGAAAGGTTAAGAGCATTCTCATATTGACATACGATTAAAACAGCTTGTGCAAGGACAAAAAATAAAAGATTAGATTTTTTAATGCCTTCCTTTTGGACAATCACTGCAGTGATTGTCCAATTCCCTCCCCCGGATGACAGAAATCAGCCCCCCTTAATGCAGCCCCCCTTAATGTCTTATATTTAATTCCAAAATTGCAGCCCCTCCTGAATGTGCACGCATACACAGCTAAACACAAAGGCTATAGCAAGAATGGCGGAAATTAAGAACAAACGTATTCACGTCCCCTGAATTTTAGTCAAAGCTGAATGACTCGGACCTAGTCTATTTAAGCTGTCAAAAATAAAAGGTTTGATAAGGAGTTATTACAATTATAATTTCTGGTTTCGTCTTTGCAGGAAAATGGTACATTTTAACAGCCAAGAAACAGGAAAAAGACATCACCAAGAAGTTGCATATGGAATTTAGATATGTGAAACACCATTTAAATAGACGGAAATGAATTACAAGGTCGAATGGAATCAATACCAGGCACAGATTGTTCCATTGAGACTCTTCAGCCAAGAAGCACCTCCTATTCTCGTCCCAACCAATACCTGTTTCGGCAGATTGGCGCAGACCCTTCAACTTGGCAAAGGCATGCCAAATCCTCTTCTCTCGTCCGAATTTAGAATGGTAGACACTCCATGCGTACTGCTTCCCCCACTGCGAATTCAGATGCACAGCAAGCTTCATCCAATTGGCCTCAGATGAAACGTTTGGATTCCACTCCCCACTCCTTTTCCACTCGACGAATGTCATACAGAAATGAATCTCCATATTTGCATCCCAGTGGGCCTTCGCAACGTTGGGGTCACGTGGCATCTAAATGAGGAACCAAAACTTGGGTAAGCATTAATACAAATCTGAAGTGCTGGAAGAAGAATCAGATTAGTACAGATGGGTTGATTTAACAGTTATTAGAATGTGGATGGATGAAGCGTATGCAGCCAAGAAAGCAGAAATTGGCAAAGGCACTCGTCTGTATTAGTTTGGCTCATCAAACCTGGTTTAGCAGGTATTTGCACCCCCAAAATTTGCAAAGCAAGTACTAACGATGTTTTGAATTGAGACAATGTGATAGCTTAAGAAAAGGGATGTGAAATCAGATTACGATTACTATGAAAATCAGATATAGTCCATGATTGACCTACATTCATGGTCACATACCCCATAAAAAAGCAATCTTAGTGAATTAAACTAGCATGGGCAGCCAATAAATGTCAAATGCATGCCAAATGAAAGTACACAGGAAATGAACTTGGCAGCAAAACAAATTTTTAGTTGATTTAGATGAATCATTTTGATGCACATATAATAGGTTTTTTGTTTAATAATTAAAAAACATACTCTGAAGTAGTTGACAAGGGACTGGATGTAGTCGTTCGAGTCTGTGACGGAGTGCACAGATGAAGCTTCGGAAAGACGGGCTGGAGTATTTGGACCGGACAGTGATCTCCTCCGCTTGTTGGGCATTTACTGGTGCTCTATCACTGTCAAAAGGTCATGACATGCACGGACCTCAAACCAGATACAAAAGTTGCAAATTCAAATTCTTGGGGCTGGTACATTGACTGCTCTAGTTTGGAGGTAGTATTTGACAAATACAGACGAAATCACTGTGGAGTGCCTACAACCAACTGGGTTTAGCCCCATCCAGAAACTCTATTACTGTATAATTGAAACAGATTGGGGCATGTATGTGGTCCTACTGTATTTCTAAATAAGGCCGGAAATCAGATGCAAGGATGTTTGCAAAACTGTAGTTATATAAGCTACTTTGCAAGACTTTTAGTAATGTAGCTGGTTGTATGACATTTTCAGGGCAGCAAATAGAAGACTATTCGATACATTTGGGCTGGCTATTGGGGTTTAATTATATCACCGTAGCAAAACCATGCATCAGAAACTTATTTCAACTATATTTATGAACAAGCATGGAAGATGGAGATTCCAGCAGGTACCCAGTTAAAAAATCCCTAACCTGTATACTCAGCCATATTGAAACCACCGTAAAATCAGATAAATAATAAGCGAAGTGAGAACTGCATAATGTTGTACCAGCAGATACTCTCCTCATCATATAAGCAATTTTATGTATCGAATATGATTAAGTGCGGCATAATTACTACTCTTGGGGAATTAATGTCCAAACCCAAAAGCTGCACCTCATTATTAGAAATTATTAAAAGTTAATCATGAAATCCAAATTCTCGCGAATTATATATGGCCAACTTTTTCACAACAACGACACAGGCTAATATATTTGATCCAATTTCACAACCACACTCGGGCATAATTTAAGTCGATAAATTAAAGAAACAAAAGCAGTCCAAGACTGTAAAGATCTGGCACCCGTTTCTGATTTGTTAAATCACTCCTGTACTTCAGAAATTATGAGTGAGAAATTTCGCACCGGAGGGATATCATACTAATTGTGCTCGCAAGGAATACACTAGTCATGGATCTACCCTGCACCGCCCCCCAATTAGTTTTTGGACTGTCTTCAGAACAAAACCCATCCTATTTGAGACACTTGGTCGTCCGATAATGAAGTGCCCAGTTTTGATTATTAAGATGACTAGAGTTGTAAATTTTTTTGTTCCAATTGCCGACAGGAATTGATATAAACAAGATGCATACCTGTCAAATCTGATGGTTGCCCTGGTTCGAATTTGGCCTTCAAATTGCAGTCTCAAATTACTGGATTTCTCTTTTCTGTGTTCGGTCTCTGTTTCCGTGTGCACTGCCCGACGCCGCCGATCTGGATGTATCCAGACCCTTCAAACCCACCGTACACAAAATGCTCGCCTAATGCACTCACTATTGACGAGGTACCCAGTTACTTGTTCGCACCAGAAGCGGCTTCTGAAGTTGGCTATGGGTGACCTCTTCTGCAAGAGGAGAGAGACGTATAGGGGGGTTTTGGGAGGACAAAAAGATGAAACGAAGGAACTTGGCGTCGTTTGGTTAGAATGCCCAACGGGAAGATAGGTCCGGACAAATCATGGGTGTCTTCACCTTGATGCGATATTAAATTCGCTTTTCTGACCTCTTCACGTGATGAAGGAATTTCACTCTGTTTAATGACTTTGTGGGGTCAACCGCTGCAAATGGTCCGGGCAAAATCACACAAACAAAATATGACAAATGTTGTCTGACGTGTCCAAACACTATTTTCAAATTTTGTTTTGCCAAAGTAAACTAAGTAAAGTAAAATCACAGTCCAAACGGACCCAATGTCTTCATCAAAGCCAAATTAAGGGCCTGTTTGGATGATGACTTTTTTAGGTGTTTATAATAAATTTTACTGTAACTTACCGTAAAAGTTGTAAAAAAAAACTTATTTGTGGTTGGGTTTTTAAAGAACATGTAAAACCCTTTCTTTTTTTTTTTTTCATTTTCTTTCTTTTTTTCCCTTCTTTTCTCCATCCAACCTCCCTCTCCATTGCTACCACACCATCTCTCCTGCTGCCACCCTACTCCACCTATCGCTGCCCACTCCTCCCACCCTACTTCCTTTTGGCACCACCATCTCCCTTCCCACCTTTTTTTCCCTTCTACTCTTCCATCTTTCTCCTCCTCTCTTCCCTCCTACCCCCTTTCCCCGTCACCCCTTCTCTCCCTTCATCTTTTACTGGACCCCCTCACTCTCTCTCTCTCTCTCCCATGTTGGTCATGAGACTAGCAGGGAAGGGAGAATGGGTCAAGGAGGGAGGGCAGCAGAGGAAGGAGGAGAGGAGAAGGAAGGGAGAGAGTGGGAAAGAGGGAAAAAGGGAAAAAAAATAAGAAAAAAAGGGAGGATGTGCTGGCAATGGCGACGTTGATGCTGATGGTGGGAGAAAGAGGTGTGGCAGCAGCGGAGAAAGTGGAAATGGTTGAACAAGGTGGTGGTAGGAGAGAGAAAATGGTGTGTATTTTTTAGTATTTTAGAAGTATATTTTAAAAACTTTGTAGTGCTTTTAAATATTCTGCAAATAAAGTTGTAAAAAAAATTTATCTACTAAAAACAGGCCAAAAAACTTGGCATCCAAACCGACCTCAAAATCAGTCGTTATTGAGTTTGATTCCTGTATAAAACTATGCCTGGGACTTGAGCGCAGTATCTGTTCACATCGATCCAAGCCCACTTTATTACCTTAGCCCAAGCCCGAGTATTTACAGAGTCGGCCCCTATCAATTTTCCCTCAAAAAAAACATGGAAAAATTCATCCATAAGAGTGTCGGCCCCTATCAATATTTTCCGTCAAAAAACCTGGAAAAATCCATCCATTAAGAGAGTCGGCCCATATCAATTGTTTCGTTGAAGATCGTTCTCCTTCTTTCCATCGCCCATTGATTTTTGCAGCTACTTCCTCTTCGTAAATTCGAAAGAAAGGTACATAATTTTTCTAATTTACATTGTTATGGATAACAATCATAATTGTTAGTCTAGTTGTTTGTTTTTCTTTAACTTTTATTTCATATTTACGGTTGAGTCGATTAGTTTTTCCAAAAAAAAAAAAAGTTGAAACCCTAGCTGTAGTTTAGATATATGCGTTTGCCTATAAGTTATGATGATATGAATAGAGATGCATTTACTTTGTTTAGGAATCAAATTTATATTGTTTAGAAATATCTGGTGGAGCTCCATGGCCATTTTTTTAAAAAAAAAAAATTTATGAAGTCTATAGAAGTTAATATATCGTAAACTTCATCATTTCCAATTAGTTTAGTTGGATATTTTAATTATATTAAAATGTATATATCTATATATATTGTTGGTATTGCTGTGTTAAATTTGTTTGGGATTGGGGAAGTGGAACAGAAGATAATTAATTTTCTGGAAAGAATATTGCTGAAGATTTTAGATTTAGAGATTACTGGTTCAACTTGATATATTTAGTAGTTCGAAGTTGTTTAAACTTGAAATTCACTTGTACTTTGGTTGGTATAGGTTCAGTCTTTGTTACCCTACTCAATGGTAATATATTCTGGCTCCTTGAAGAAATGAGTATATTGACCAAATTTTTATGGATTGGGTTGTCTTGTATTAACTTACTTATCAGTGCAGTACTTCTAACTTCTTGATATTTTTTTGCATGTTTTTCATGCTGAGCTAAATAATTTAGCATTCATTTTGTTCTTAACCTGTCAGGTTAGACACTTGGTTCCAATATAAATAACTTTGTCGGGTTATCCAGAAAGCAAATAAAAGCCACTGAAGTTTTCTCCTAAGCAACAATTTTTCAGTTATGACGATGGATGTGGAATTCAGTGACTCCAGGCGTGAGAGTGTTGAGGTGAGAGATCAAGATGAGCCTTCTACTCGTGAACGGTGGGTAGGTGGATATGACGATATGGAAGAAGATGATCTTGACAAATCGAGAGAGTCAAGCAAGCATCGTGGTAGGGAAAAAAGCAAGAGCAACCGCAGAGAAGATAAAGATCATAGACATAAAGATAGGGAAAGATCCAAGACCAGTCATGGTTCAAAGGATAGTGGGAAAGAAAGTAAGGATGAGAAAGAGCGAGTATCTGGCAGAGATAGGAGAAATGAAGATAGAGAGAAGCCAGAAAAGGAGAAGAGCCACGACAAGGCTCGAGAGAGGGATATCGAAAAAGAGAAGTACAGAGATAAAGAGCGTGATAAAGATCGCAAAGATCGGGGAAAGGAAAAGGAACGAGAGCGTGAGCGTGACAGAGAACTGGATAGGGATGCAGAACGTGGAAGAGACAAAGAGAGGGTAAAAGATAAGAGTAGAGATAAGGACAAGGACAGAGAAAAGGAAAGAGAGAAGCATAGAGAGCATGGAAAGGAAAGGGACGCTGATAGGGATAAAAGTAAGAATGTTGTTGAGAAAGAAAAGGTGAAGGAAAGAACTAGGGAGAAGGAGAGGGATGCAGACCAAGATAAGGAAAGGCAGAGGGACAAAGATAGGGCAAGTCATAAGCAGCGGGATGAAGGTCATGAGAGGAGCAAGGACTTGAGAAAGGAGGATAAGTTTAGATCTGACAGTGTGGATAATTGGGATCGTGATTCTGAGGATGGAACTATAGCTGTCAAGGATCCACAACATGCCGATGGTGGACCACACTCATCTACAACGGAGCTGGAACTTCGCATTATGAAGTAAGTTGATGTCTGTTGTTTCATTACCTCTTTGTCCTTTTCTGATGTTGCCGGAAATGTGGTTTTACCCCATACCCTTCCCAAAAGCCACAGTATATTTTTACTATTAGTACTTGTACAAATATCTAGAAAACTGCTTTTTCTTCTTTTGTCAATTGAGTTGATGCTGATCAAATGATTTTGATGCTAAATCTAAAGAGTCAAATGATTTTGTAAGAAGTAAGATTCTTATAACTTCTATCTACAGTAATAAAAAAGGATTGAGATGGTCTTTGTCTCTTGCTATATCGTTGCCAAATTTACCGGACTCATATTCTCTGTAGTTTAGTGCTCTCTTTGTTTACAATTGTTTTTTTCCCATAAT